ACTCCTAGGGACCTTGGGCAGTGCACAAATGATTACAATAAAAACAGCAAAAAGCAAAGAAGGGTAGAGATGGCAGGATAACCAACCAGGTGAAAAAGAACACCCAACCTCATTTAAAAAGAGGCTCCAGTCACACCCACTAAAGGCCTGGGTGAAGAGCTGGATCTTTTGACTCCTTTGAAACACTGACATTGGAAATCCACCATGAGCATTCTGACTAGAAAACAAGAAAACAGAATGCTACATTTAACAGATTTATCTGGTGATAGGTCTCTAAAGCTCTTCTTTCCATTTTCTCTTCCGTGGCAAAATGATTCAGGTAGGAACAAAACATCTGTCAACTTGCTTTGATTGCTTGACTCTAGGATAACAAATTTAGGAGCTTAATCTGAACTACCTGAACATTCCAGCCTGAAATGTCAGTTGCATGCAATCTATCATTTCTTCAGGGGCTATGATGAATTCACTTTTTCTTGTCATTCTTCTAAGACAAGCAATTGCTGAAGAAACATGATGTTGATTGTGACCTTGTGATGTCACAGCTATTGCAGGGATGGGCATCAGATTAAATGCAAAAGGATTTATTGATGAGTGGTGTTGCATTTGTCAATCCAGCCAAATTTGTCAAACACAATTTTTACTTTGGTGCAGTTTGACCCATCTCATTTTCTCCTGCAGGAATAAGATGCTGAAATGAACTTAGTAATGGAAAACATAGCCAGTGAAAGGAGTTATATGAATGAAGAGAGCTTGGCTGCGCTCACCCATGGCCAGTAAACTCCATCCCCAAGAAATACGCTAGTGGGACAAATGTAATTTTAAAGAAGTGGATATACTACCCTCATGTGCACATTGAGCTTCTAGTTTTTACTTGGGAATCAGTTCCAATCAATGGGAGACCAATCAGTCTTAAATCTAGTTACTGGTTAACTGATGGGTTGTTGGTTCATTGGGACACTTCCATAGATCCAAATTGCACATTCCAAATATCTCCCAAAGCTTAACAACCATTTTCACCATGGATGGGTGGTATTGGGTCAGTGATCCTAACTGACCTATGTTCTTTCCAAATGACCATTAAAGGAATAAAAAATCTTGCTCTGTGTATCACCCCTTTCCTTCTGCTTGAGTTACATGTTCATGGCTGAAAGAATATTTTTCTGTGTCAGTGAAGAACATGCAATTTACTTGGTAGTAACACTTATGTTCCCTTCTGCTTGATTGTGTCCAATTCTCAGAGACTGCCTTGACAGGTCCCGACCATTTTTTTTAGAAGTAGTTTGCCATTGCCTCCTTCCTAAGGCTGAGAGAAAATGACTGGCTCAATCTCACTCAGCTACTTATGTGCCTAGAAGTAGAATTTACAGTTTTCAGGTTTCTAGGTGGTGCCTTAATCTCTACATCAAGCTGCCTCTCATGGTAATACTATACACATATTTTAAAGGATGTTGCTTTGTATTGTTCTCCTAGTTTCAATAGGTACATTTATTACTTATTAATCAAATTTGTATCTGCCCATCTCATAAAAAGTGACTCTACGTGACTATTGTTGTTTTATCATTTGTGGTATTTAATTGTGTGTGTGTGTGGGGGGGGGAGTTCTGAAGTGAAATTTAGTGCTTTATCTGTGCAAGAAGATACTGTTTCCTCTAGCAGAATGAAGTTGGGTACAATTACCCCTCTCCCTGATAGCTTCTTATGCTTTTTTTTACTTTCTAATCAGAGAGGGGGCTCTTAACAACCCGAAGCACTTTTTGGAGCAAGTATGCAATAGAAGAGGAAGAAAGGACTAAATACCCACCTTCCAGCAAAACATCAATTTTCAAAGATTGTTTAGCTATCATGTAATTAACAGCAAACAACATTGTGACTCTCATTACAGAAGATGGGCTCATGTTGCCTTCCAGGTCACAATAACCCTAGGACGACATCATTGGAGATGGGACCAAACACAAAAACTGGTGGGAATGGTACAAATTTAGATTATTTTTAAAGGAGAGGAGAGTCTGTTAAGGAAAGATCTGAGTAGGTAGCAGAAACCAAGCACTAACTGGCAGGTTCCCTTTCTTAGTTATTGGTCAGAAAGGTCAATCGCTGATTGGCTTCCAGTTCTATGTGAAGCTGTAGACTTGAGAACAAACTTACGATCTTTACTATCTGAATCAATCTGTGTTTTAAACCAGAACCAGAAGGCTTTTTTGGTGATGGACTTTTAGAAAACAAAATAGAAGAACTAAGAAGTAGGTAGCAAAAAGTGATTCTATAGAATTACCTTCTAGTCTTTTGGTGCTTTGCTCCCTCTTATTTTCTTCCCTTTCTCATACACATGTGTATACACACACACACACACACACACACACACAATTATTTTGTGAATTAGCAAACCCACCGTTCTGTGAGTCATTTTGCAGCACCTCCTTCAGTATGCTTTTCAATTAGATGAGTTGAAGTTCACTGGCGAAATCCTTGAACAGATTGGGGCAAGTAATTATGAGTAAATCAATATTCTAGAAAGAATTGATACTGCAGACATTTCTTTATACATGAGATTAGAGAGATAAAATAGAAAGATGAAGAAACTTCAACATATTACTTACAACATGAAAATCAACAATCACATTACAAATATATTAACAGCAACCTTCATTCTTCCAAGGGACCATATTTATGTAACCCTAACCCTGCTATCGTGAAGTGGAAAATGCACTTGGAAGAACTCACATTTTGCATGTACAGCAATAGAAAAAATATGTAAGGGACAAAAATCCTAAAAGGGAGGCGGGATTAAGAAGACAGAAACAGAAAAAAAATGCAAAAGTATGTTGTGTTGCTGCAAACTGTGGCATGTGCACTGTCTATTTGTTGAAACTCCCATTTACAATACATGACACAACACAGTCATGTTCTAAGAAACTCTGAAAGCATTAAGTTTGTAATGGGAGGGAAAAATATATCTGGGCAGCTTTCTCTGCCTCTTCCTCAGACTAGCACTTTCCAAGTGTGTTGAAGTGTGCAGGTTGTAGTTTCATATTGTCAGGGAATTCTGGGATAGATACTTTCAACAAACATAACAAGGGTGGAAGGAGAAAGCCTCCTCAAGAAGAAGTCTCAGGAAAGCAGGCCTTGCCAGTCATGAGGAGGCAGACAAATGCCTTTCCCACTTCCCACAAACACAGAGCAGAAGTTTGAAGAAACCCACATATGAGTGTGGCTGATTCTCTCTGCCTGTGGGTACAACCGCGACCGCTGGTTTTTGCTGCTGCTATCTGCCTCGCCATCGCTTCTCCTTGCAGACAGGAAAGTCACCACAGATCAGGCTTTCATAATCACCTGCAGTAAAAACCATTCTTCACACAGTTGAAAATCACAGCCAGGCTGAACCAAATCCCAGCCGTGTCAAAGTCTGGATCATAGTGTTGCTTCAGTCACATATTTATGTTGGAATAACTTTTTAGTTTAGAATCTACTTTGGCATGTAAAGCGCTGAGATGAATAAGCAGGTATACATCTTCAAGCAGATAAAGGAGAAAAGGTTTAGAGGGGATCTATTTGTTGTTTTCTTGCCTGTCCATGGTATCCTCAAAAGCCTTCTCCAGTACCAAAATTCAGAAGCATTAACAGTCTTTCTGTCTTGTTTCTTCAAAGTCACAGAGGATATCTAGCATTCATTCAATTTGAGAAAATTGTATTTGGAGACCACAAGAAAACACTTTTAGCCTCCTAATCTAATGGCCCTCAACCTTTTGGGCACCAGGGAATGGTTCCATAGAGAAAGGTTTTTCCACCGACCGGAAGGGGTGTACGATGGGTCTTCGCTTGTTTGCACAGCCTGGTTGCTGGCATGTTGCAAACCGGTGCCAGTCCACGGACCAGGGGTTGAGGACCCCTGTCCTAAGCTATGCATGCATGCTTGGAATTCAGGGACAGTTGTCATGTCATGGATAATTTGATGCCATAATTGAAGTTCCTCCATGATATAATTAATTTTATGTGTTTCAAAACTGAACACATAATATCTGCTCACAATAACATCCCATCCCCAGAACCACTAAAAATCCCAAAGCTAGGCCAAACCTGTTGCAAATGGTTGGATTGAGCAAGGCATGCTATGTAAATGGGCAATCACACTAATGCAGAAAAGAGGTTGTGAATACATGGGGTAGAGTAATCTGCTTCTTCTCTCATAATACTCATGGGAAGTCAAAATTATCCACTAAAGCTGAACCAGAGTATTAGGGACACACAAAAGGCACTATTCTGTTGTTCAGCACACAGTTAAACAATGAATTTTGCAACCACAAGATGCAGTGATAGTTATCAACTGCTTTAAAAAGGGACTAGGCAATTCCTTTGAAATCCAGGAGCATGCCTCTTTGTCCCATTTGCTGGAAAAAAATGTCAATCAACAATAATCTGTTGCCCTTGGCTTCCCACCATAATTGATCATTTTGAGAAAGAAAATCTAGACAAGGAAGGTGTTAGGTCTCATCCAATCTGGTCGTCTTATCTTCTTACCTTTTCTTTTTCCAGATTAACATAAAAGGGTCAAAATGTTGCAGTGATACTTTACAGATTGTCCTTGACTTATGACCACAATTGAGCACAAAATTTCTGTTGTTAAGCAACAGTTTTCTCCCATTTTACGACCTTTCTTGTCACAGTTGTTAGGTGAATTTACTGCAGTTGTTAAATTTGTAACACGGTTGTTAAGTGAATCTGGCCTCCACATTGACTTTGCTTGTCAGAAGACCACAAAAGGTGAACACATGACCCTGGGACACTGCAACCGTCATAAGTATGAACCAGTTGCTGAGAATCCGAATTTGGACCACATGACCATGGGCATGCTGTAATGGTCGTAAATGTGAAAAATGGTCATGTCACTTTTTCTGTCACTAGATGAATGATGATAAGTCAAGAACTACCTGTATTTTTTACTTCTGGAATGCCCAACTCAGCCCAGCTGGTACAGTCTCACTTTCCTTCTGTTCTTCCTACAGATGAGAAGTCAAGCAAACATGATGGAGAAACTGAAGAATTCCCAGTCGCCTGTTAAGCCTGAGCAGCCAAGCCTTCTCCCACCAGCTGTTACTCCAACCCCTCTTCCTTCCCCAGATGGTGGGGGGAATGATGTAGAGGCCACTGAGCCCCCCACCAGCCCCACTTCTTGCTCACCTCAAACAAAGGGGAGCCCTCCTGCTGAGGCTCCCCATGCAGCACTGCCCCCCAATGTCCCTGTCATCAGCCTGGCCTACAGCAAGTCCCCCACTCCTGTTGAGGTCCCCACAACCCAACTCACTACGCTGCACCCCATTCCTAACTTCTTGCAGTTCTCAGGTCTGCCTGGACACCCTCCGCCATCCCTGCCTCTGACCGGAGTAAGGAGTCCACTTTTAGCCCCACAATACCAGCCTCATCCCTTTCTCAACAAGTAAGTCCAGAAATTTGATCTGGGGGGAGGGAGGGGAAGGGGGACGAGGCAAGGAAGAAATCCTGGTTATGTTGGCAAGCTGCCAGTGCCAACTCTGGGAAGAATGGCAGTGGGTTCATCTAGACTATGTTATAAGCGAATTATCCCACTTTTGTAAATTGACAAAACAAGAACTATTGCAGGTCAGCAGCCATAGCTTCTCTGTGACAGCATCTCCCAACATGGAATATGTGCAGTTCTCAGAATAACTAACAAGTATTTATGTTCCATGTTGCCTAGAATTCTGGAAATTGAAGGTCAAACATATCTGGAAGGTACAATATTAGGGTCAGGTGCTTTCCTGAGTCATACTACAGCCCTTAAAGTCTCAGGACAATTGAATTTGGAAATTGAGAAGGAAGCACCCCCTGTTAATAAGATAACTTGTTGATAAGTAGTAGAAGCTCCCACTCAGTGAAAACCAAAGAGGACCTCTTGCAATCAAGAAGGTAGGATAGCAGCTTAGGCATGGAGCTTATTAGGCCAAGGATCATGATAATGCTAACAATCAAAGTGTTCATGTCATCAAGCAGATGACAAAATCAGATGGATTTGTAATTGGCTGACAGACCACACTCAATGAGTAGTCCTTAATGGTACTACATCTACATGGAGGAAAGTAAGCAGTGGAATACCACAAGGTTCTGTCTTAAGCCCAGTACTCTTCAACATCTTCATAAATGGCTTAGATGAAGGACTAGAAGGGGGACTCACCAAATTGGCAGATGACACTAATAGCCTGGCAGGAATAGCCAACATCCCAGGAGTCAAGCTCAGGATCCAACATTTTGTTGATAGACTTAAACAATGAGCCCTATCCAACAACATGAATTTTAATGTGGAGAAAAGCAAGGTTTTACACTTAGGAAAAATCAAAGGCACAAGTAGTTTTTGAAACCAGGCTCAAAAACTAACTAGGAGAGCAACTTTGGAGTGCTAGTGGGTGATCACTTAAATATGAGGAGCAGTGAGCAGCTGCCACTAGAAAAGCTAATACAATCCTTGGTTGTATAAACAGAGATATATAATCAAAATCATGTTGAAGTAATAGTACTGCTTTATAAAGCCACATCTAGTAAGACCACACCTGAAATATTACATCCAATTTTGGTCATCACATTACAAAAAATATGTTGGGACTTTGGAAAAAGTGCAAGGAATAACAACTAAGATGATTAAAGGCCTGGAGATAAAACATCTGAATGGTTGCAAGATTTGGGTTTGGTTAGTCTCGAGAAATGAAGGGACATGATAGCAGCATTCCAGTATTTGAGAGGTTGCCACAAAGAGGTCAGCTGATTTTCCAAAGCACCAGAGGGCAGGACAAGAAACGATGGAAACTAACCAGAGAGAGAAGCAACCTGGAATTAAGGAGAAACTTCCTAACAGTGAGGACAATTAACCAGTGGAACAGCTTGCCTCCAGAAGTTGTGGGTGCTTCATCACTGGAGATTTTTAAGAAGAGACTGGACAGTCACTTGTTTTAGAATGGTATAGGGTCTCCTGCTTGAGCAGAGGGTTGGAGTAAAAGGCTTCCAAGATCCCTTCGAGTTCTATTCTTCATTCTATTCAGTAAGTCGTGTCCAGTGTATCTTAATTTCATTTGCAAGGGACCCTGAGAAGGAAACAGATCTTCTAATTACTTGATCCTGGCAGTCCTTTGCCTCTTTTGTTGGTTATAGCTTGGGACTTGCCAAAACATGAACTCTCTTTACTATTATCTGTAATGAATGAGTTAACTTAGCAATTAGGGCACAACATGGAAGATGGAACCCTGATTGTTTTATTAAGTTTTGTGGCCAGGACTTTGGGGGAAGCTGAGCTTATGAACTGTGCCAAGCTACACAAAATTATATGCCTGTAGAAATGGTCTAGAAGGGTTCAGCTTTATTGATTATATACTGAGAGAACTGGTGTGAAAGTGAGCAACCTGGAGGCCACTAATACTATTTCTACATGATAGTGGTTCATCCAGTGCCATCCTGTGTGAAAGCTGCTAGCTGAGTAGGGATGTTTGGATTGATGGAGTGGTCCCTGCCAATGGTCCTTGGGAACATGATAGGTTCTTGACCACTCTGAATGGGAGAAGAACAAAGTTGTCAATATGTCTCAGGTTCAGTTTAATCCAGTGATTTAATGTTGAGATTTCATTTTTTTTCCCATGGTTTATCAATAGCCCAACAATGGGTGTACTATCAGTCAGTATTGGTCAGTCTAAGTTGTGTTTCCTGAACATGCTCTGCCCAATCTCTGATCTAGGCATGGCATCAGATGAGCTGCTATAGATGTTTTTGTACCCTATAATGGGATGATAATCTTTTTCAGAATTAAAATTGGAGGCACACTTTGCCAAATACCTCCAAACAATGTGACTGAGCTACTCACAATATGTGAAGGAATGTAGCTGAAATAATTGTTGTTAACTGGGCAGGTTAATCCCATTTTTTGTTTCTCACCATAGTACAAATGCTGTAAGGCTGGATTTGCAGAGAGAGATGCAATAGAGCCTACGTAGAACGGTTTTGATCTTAGACCTGCTGCCAAGAGATGTGAGAAAATGATCATATTTGTATCCTATTTTTGTAGGGAAGATTTGTAATTAAAGTTGTATTCATGCTTTGAGATGGCGGTTCTGATCAATGTTCTTATTTCTCTCTAGCATCTACCTAGGCAACTCGGGGACATTTGGCCTCTTTCCTAATAACCGCCTCAAGCGGAGACCAAGTCATTATGAGCAAGACATTACTGAAGGTGAGTGGCCATGGGCAGAGGGGGTATTCAGCCGATTCTGACCAGTTCTGGAGAACCGGTAGCAGAAATTCTGAGTAGTTTGGAGAACTGGCAAATCCCACCCATCTGTTCTCTGCCTCCCAAATCCCAGATGATTGGCTGGGTCTTCTTTTGTTGCCCTGCACAGCAGAACGGAGCTGGAAAGCAGGTTAGTGGAATGGGGAGGGAATGGGGATTTTGCAGTAACCTTCCCTTGCCATGCCCACAGAACCAGTAGTAAAAAAATTTGAATCCCACCACTGGCCATGGGGGAAAAATAAAGGGTGTTTCTCTCCCAGGACATAGCAGAGAGAACTAGCAGAGAAACACACGGGACGGATACAGAAACAGTTTATATAAAGTGACTGCCAGTATGGGGGGAAGGAGTTCCCAATTCATGTTCAGCATGATCCCTTTTGCAAAGGCCTCTCACTGTTTGAGACTTTTCTTTGTACCTGCGTAGGTCTTCAACCTCAGAAAGTGGCACGCCGGGTCTTCACTAATAGCCGGGAACGGTGGCGTCAACAGAATGTGAATGGTGCCTTTGCTGAGCTTCGGAAACTCATTCCCACCCACCCACCTGACAAGAAGTTGAGTAAGAATGAGATTCTTCGCTTGGCCATGAAATATATCAATTTCCTGGTCAAGCTACTGAGTGACCAGGCCAGACTGGCTGGAGGGGAGACTGCTGAAACAACCAGCCCCTGCAATGGCACTCCCAGGACTCCATCACCATCAGCATCCATAAAACTGGAACAGTTAACCGCTGAGTCAATGACTGTGTTGGAAGCAGGAGAATCACGGTGATGTCTAGCAGTAAAGACCACCATCGCCACCCTTTTCTGTGCATCTACAATGCTGCCCATGTGGTTCAAGCGAGCATCAGTGGAAACTCCTTGGCCTGCACATCCCTTCCTTGAGTCCATCACCCATGGAACAGTCTGCCATAATAGGATTATATTGACTTTGGAAGATTTCATTTGACTTCAGGAATCCAAAAACAGAGGGAGAAGGTGCTGGAGTCCCTTTGACTGAGACATCCATTGATGTCCAATGGAAGCCTCAAAATGTGGGGACTCTGGGAGAGATGAGGTTTTATGTACAATTCCCTGGTTTAGGGCAGTAGGAAACTGCTTGAGCAGTTCTATATGATATCTGGTTTGCATAAGATACCCTCTAGCTCCTGTTGGCTGTAAGAGGAAGACCTTGATGTCAGGCAGCACTATAGCTGGAAAAGGTGCTCTGGAGTTTCATTTTCACTGTTTGCTGATTAGTGCTGGTTTTTAGCCTTAACACTGCTCCTGCCAACAAATCTAAGCCAGTACCCCACATAAATATTTGAGCCTGTACAAAAGGGCAAAAGGAAATAAAAAGAAGTGGCAAGGTTAAGAAGCTGAGCTCCCAGGCCCAGTCTACTTTCCACCTTCCTCTCAAAATGGGACTCTGGCTCGGTTATATCAGTGACATCTTTCTAGATGGGAAAAGAGCTACTGAAGGACTTCGAGCATTCTTGTCAATGGCTTGGAAAGCAATGGCCATACAGACTGTTCAGTGCATCTGCTGTGCTCTGCCTAGTTGGGTGTTCAGCAGTAGCTCAGTCAAGGCTACAGGCAGTGGTTTGTGTGAGCATGTCTTCTTTTTGACATGCTTATTTTCCTGCATGCATAATGTTTTTCTTGGCAATTTTTGTGCAGAAACCTTCGTTATCAGTCCCAAAAAGCAAGAGCACCATCTCTGCAGGAGAACTGGGCCTTAACAATGGTCTCTTGTGAGCCAGGTGTGCTGTTGGGGAGTTACTCCAGATGCAAGCAGTTAAGAGGGAGTAGGTGGTGGTGGTGCAGTAGCTGCTGTGTCACTCCTAAGGGGCCAGTTGGATGGGTGGGAGGTTGCTGGGAGCCCACAGTTTCAGAAACCTTCTCCCTTCCTGGAAAGAGAAGGGCGGTTTATGCTGAGTCAATATCTCGAACTTCTCCCCAAACCCTGGGCCCCTTACCAAAACCACATATGACAGCAATGATTCTGGAGGGAGGGAGGCCTGAGCTGCCTGTTATCAGATGAAGAAGTTTGCTGAAAGGTCTTTGGGGTGAAGGAAGAAGAAAGATTACCATATCTACACACACACACACACACACACACACACACACACACACAAACAGCAGGACCCAGATTTGCTTGTAAAGGAAATTGTTCTCCGCTAATATTTGTTTTTATTGGGAGGAGGATTTGTAAGATGGGATTCTTACACTCAATGCTGTCCAGACCAGAAGCTCCTTGGAACCAAATTCTTCTAAGTTGTATGATGTTTTAAACTGAAGTCAATGCCATAAACAAAAAGAAAAGTAATATATTTGGTGATAATTGTTGACACTGTAAAAGGTTGTGTGGGTTGCGTGCTAGATTTTGAATCTGAATTTTTCACTGCAAGGAAATGATGAGGAACTACGCGCGCGCGCGCGCGTGTGTGTGTGTAGTGTGCTTGTGAAGTGAAAAACTGTTGAAGATACAAAAGTACTGCATCCTGAGGTGATTCCTCCTCAGTCCTCTCTGACATGCTGTAAAGTATGGCAGTAGCACCGCAATGGTTGGATGAAGCCACATTTCAATGTCTAGAGAGGAAATGGCCCAAGTATGCCCACAGGGCCTGGTGTATTATTCTGCCAATACCCAGCAGCTTACCTGATATCATGCACATTCCTTGGGTAGCTCTTCCTTGGCTACAGCCTAGTTACATGCTAGAAATTAACCCCCAACTACACAGAGCTGAATGGCAATTTGTGACACGTTCCTGTTCCTCTTGCCAGTTTTGGTCTCATTCACTTTGCTGTGATTAAGGAGGTTTTCCTTTTTTATTCAACTTTCTGAGTTTGTAGTCTAAGCAATCACTATGCCTTTCTTTCTTCCTCTTGTCCACTTTCCAAGCAGTCCTTCAATCACAGGATGTTGATTTTATTTTATTTTTTCATATTCCCTTATCACGCTATACTGGTTCTTGCTCTAGTCAGCTCAGTGAAAGGATCCAGAATATCTGTTTGGGTTTGCACAGCATACTGAAGCCTTAGCCAACTATCTTTTAGCCCAGAATCTAGCCAGGGTGGGAAATCTTGTGGCCACCGTGTCATGCAAATCCAAGAAAGATAGTAAACTGTAACTGAATGCAGTCTAAGCCCGTGAATACCCATTAATGTTTATTATCCAATCATTCTTTAAGTTAGTGACATCTTTTGTTTAGCTGTTATTGTTTATGTGGAATCTTTGAGGTGCCAAAATCAAATTAAACATTTTGCTCAGAATTTAGTGAAAAGAACATGGTTCCAAGGAAAACAACTACCGGTAATCGAAACATAGCAGGCCCAGTCAGTGAACTATTCTGCTCAGGCTCCACCATAATGAATTGGAAAGTTTAAAGAAAGATGCTGTTCAGCAGGCAAGAGCAACTTCTACCAGACTGTTAGAATTGATAGATGTGCAGAGGATGTGGTGTGTTTGTATGTATTGCTGAAAGGACCCTATAAACCGAAGTAAGGTAGCCATATTTTTAAAAGCAATGGATGCCATTACAATCCAACTTAGAATACATAATGAAAATTGGATACATTTCCCACTATGCTGGCATATGGAAGGTGCTGGTTTTAAATTCCATCATACAGAGACAAACGGGCTCATCCGTTTTAAAGAGTTGGAGTCAAGTTCGTCTCTATATTTTGGTTATTGATAAGCAACAACTAACAAATTCTCCATTGTGATCCTCAGATGTCTTGAGACCAAGCTGGCAAGTAGAGAAAGACCGGCTTTTTAGACCTGTGCATTCAGCTGAGCATCTATTTTGCTATGGTTTCATACAACTGAGTGGTGCAAGGATCTCTGCACCTCTTGATTTACTCACACTTATCAATTCCATGATCCTCAAATGGTATTAACAGAAGAGGTACACATGCCTCCCCATGCTGAAAATTTCAGTTGCTCCCTGGGAGGGTCAAGCAAATAAGAAGGCCTTCAAGACTATCTTCAGTATTCCCCTGTAGAAGGGGAGTCCACAGGGGATGTTTAAGGAAGTCAAGATGACCACTACAGTGGTGCAGTTGAAGCACTGCCTGTTTTTATTTGCATCACATGCGGAGTTTTTGTGGATACTTGTGCTACGACACTTTAAAATCCACAGCAGGAGAGGGAGCATGGAGATGTGTTAGAGGACCAGATATTTTTCCTGTCTGCCACTTCTTTGCTCAAAATCACCCTTCCTCTGAAGCCAAATTCAAGCAAAGCTCAAGAATTCCAGGGGAAAGTGGGGGTGAAGAAATGGGAGATATTTGGAAATTGAATCCCACCTCCCATACTGCTTGCTTTGATCCCATTGACCTTCAGAAGCTGCATTCCCTCTAAAGAAGATGAAAGGTGTACTGTTGTACCATGCAATGGAGGACCACCACACTGAATTCCAGGCAAAGGGCAACCAGAAAGAACCAGAAACCCTGCTAAGAAGATACATCTTGGAGTTGGGGTTGTGCTGAGAAACACATAAGAAGATCCCAAGTCTCCCCTTCTACTCCAGTTAGTTGGAGTTAGTTGCCAAAAATGGCAGTCACCATCTACCTTTATGTACTGCTGTTTTCCCAATTCCCCAGATGATCACAATCATTTTGTCACATTCACAGTGTCTTTCCTCTTGAAGCAATTAGAGGTTTCAGGCCATGGTCCTGGGGTTTTCATTAGCAAAAACAGATTTATATTTGTATCAGAAATTGATTTAAGTCTAATGATGTTAATGTTGGGGCCTGAAAGCCTTGTGCTTTACATAAAAGAGAAGAAGGTCAAACGGTTGGTGTCAGTGCCAGAGTTGGGCTTCTGGAACAAACAAATACCCGAATATGTACATACCCTGGACAACACATACTTATAGGCTTAAAGGGATGTTAATTAGGACTACTGTCTTGACCTGCAGAAGACACCTGTTTGTGTGCACCCGATCCTGGATGTTTTCTACATCAGGGTCCATGACTATTAATCTCTCTTTGAAGTGTTCTCTCTCTCTTTCAAGGAAGACAAACAGAAACAAATACAGTCAATAACATTCTTTAATTCAATCAGTTAAAGAAGGTGCTGCATCTATAAATTTTTATTATGGAAAAATTGTATTAATACATGCGTATTACACCCCGCTCGGAGAGTGGCACTTGGGGAGGGAGGGATAGTGCCGAGGGCTGATTGGGACAGGGGCTGGGGCTGGAGGAGCTGACCCACCACATCACAGCTGCTGGTTCCCTTTTGGGGGGTGAGGGTGAGAGGGGAGAAGCTACGTGCAATGCAGGCGGGTTAGCAGAGGAGCTGTTCTGCAGACTTGAGCTATCTTCCCCTGTATAAAACCTGCAGGTGGAGAAGGGTAGAAAGTCATGATGGCTAGCAACTGAGGGGCTCCCATGAGCCCCCCCACCTGGAGGCAATTTGCTTGTAATCTCTGTAAACATATTTTGTTCACATTTCTGAAGCTGGATGCATAAAGTTTGATCGCTTTCTCTTCCTGTCTCAACTTGTTCGCTGGTGACAGCAAAGGCATCAGTTTAAGGCACTTCCCTTAATTCGGCTGCAGGGTTATGAGTTCTTTTTGCTTTCAGAACCAAACCAGTAGCAAACCAACAGCTTCATAAGGAGAGGAAGGGCACTAAAGGGTCAAGGGAAAGAGCTGGAGATGGCTGCTCTGAAGCATCAGGCTGATAGAAACAGATATGTGCATTTTGAGTCTAGACTAGCCAGGTGGGACACCTTAGCTTGGCACACTTATGGGAAAACTTACAAAAGGGCCCCCTGCCTTTGTACTGAAAAGGAGAGTTGCTATCTTAATATCCACATAGGACTAAGTCAAAATGGGGGTTCTTGTTGCAGGGGTAAAAGAGCTCTTTCTGTAAACATCCTGAGTGGATTAAAGAAGGAAATGCTCTTTAGGGCTACCATATCTGGGTTGCAAAAATATGGATGACCATTAGATAGCACCCAAAGGTTAGTGTTTTCTGTACTATATGTCTATGCTGCCTTCTAGTGGTCTTGCACTAGATCTAGTAGCATTAGGAAATGTGGTCAACAGAATGGCATCAGTGGGAGTCATTTACCTCTGCAAGAAGTGGAAGACACAGCAAAACACATTACAAAACTTTGGAAAGAAGATTTGGGGGACAAAGCAGGCCTTTTGGCCTTACTTGCCATCTCAGTCAACTCAGTGCCATTTGGAAGGGATGCTCTTCCAAGTCTTCATGGGAAACAGGAGCAACGTTTCTTTCCTCCTAAGATGGAGCCCCTTAGATCGTCCCCTGGGAATGGCTACTGAACTCCCAGATTTCAGACTACTAATCCTTAGGCCCCTTTATCAGATCACAACAGTCTCTGGCAAACACACGGTAGGTTTTTGGAAACCCACAGGTGCCTAAACAACCTTTGAAATAAGTTTAATCAAAGGCAAAAGTTAAACTTGTCACAAATATTTCCTGTCACACCAGATATGACAGCAATATGCCCATATTTTTATTGTTAGGCTGCCCTAGCCAAATATCAACAAAGAGGAAAGGAGAGTTTGATTTAAGAACAAAGGAAGATAAAGGTAAATAGTGCTAAGTCCTCTCCCTGCTCAGGGCATACCTTCCTACTGGCTCCACAAAAGTGCTTTTCTCTTCAGCCAGAAGTGAGCCTTGCAAAGAGAAAAGTGCCTCAGAGAAGAGGTTGCAAGAAGGTATGCAAAGGATTAACAGGAGGAGCAGCAGCAGTAGCAGCAGCCACCTCTCAACACATCAACACACACACACACACATGCAGAGACACACACACCTCTTAGGCACTTTAAAATTTGACCAAAAAGCTGACAGGATGTGAGTATGGAAGAAATGAGTCTAATCTTGATGTTTCTGAGCAGCTCCTCCAGAAAGCAGGGGAATGGGGAAGAAGGAAAACTGACCCCCCCATTCACCCACCAATACAGACACAGATACATGATCTTGGAGCCCTCGGCACTTCCCTCCACTGGGCTTCCCATCTCTGCTCTGAGGAAGGAACTGGTGGGAATGGGAAGAGGGAAGCCGATGATTTTTTTTTCTTTTTTAAAATATATGGTTTTTTTTGTTGTTTTTTTACAAATTTTTTAAACATTTTTATTTTATTTTTTTTAAATTCACATAACACAATAAGCCATTCCAATGGAGAAAGCCGAAGAAAGCTCAGGCAAAAATGATAAAACAGTTCGGATTTTTCTTTTTTTTTTCTTTTTTTTTCTTTTTTCCTATATATATATTTTTTTGTTGTGAAGCAATATTGACAGTTATAACATATGGCTACCTGCATTCTGCTAGACACGGAAGAAACTTCAGAAAGAACAAAAACAGACACAGAGCTACCCTTTATTTTCAAGTGCAGAGGGGTGGGGTCAGCAGCAGGAGGGGGCCTGGAAAAACAGACTGAAAGACACAAAGGGAGGCTTGGGGTTCCAGGGATAAGGAGAAAAAGCACACCAAATTCCATTAGTACTATATATATATATACTGTACTGTACTCATATATATACTGCGTTTCTTAAACAAGAAAGAAACTTGTTCAAAGGGGCAGGGGTAGGTTGCAGTCTGGGAAGCTGCAGTTTCATGGATCTCAAGGTTTTACTGCCGAGCGAGAGATGTGGATCTGAGATTAATGGGGAGGGGGCATATGGGGAGCATGAAAGGGGGAAGCCAAGTGGGTTGTCAAAGGTACTGTGTGAAAGGAAGGACAGAAGGGCTCAACTGTTCTTCTAAAGCAAAGGTCAGAGGAAGAAGCAGCTCCATAGCAAGTAGGGTCTGAGGCTCACTACCAGCCCCCCGACAGCCAAACAGGGGACAGCTAACTTCTCCAAACCAAGAGCTCAAGGGACAGCAAAGTGGATGCAGATACATTTATAGGGCAGAACGCAGCAAAGATGACTGCCCACCAAACGAAACTGTCTTGGGGCCTAAGGAACCTTAGCATCCTCCTGGGTGAGCAAGGGAACCCACAACTGAGCATCACTGGGGAGAAAGTCACTGAGCAGCCATCCTTTCCTGCAGAGGACTCGGGGGGTCCAGAAAAGGGGATTAGAGAAGCCCAAGTGCAGATATGCTTTTGGGGTCTGTGGGAAGGGATTCGTACGATCTTCAGGATTATTTTGGAGTTATGCTTCCTTCACTCTCTCTTTTGGATGGGGCAGCAGTAGCCAGGCCAAAGAGGACTAGGTACCACCATGTTTAGCCCAAGTAGCTTCCTCTTTCTGGTCAAGCCTAGGCTTTTATTGCTTTCCCCTATATTAAGCCCATGATTACAGTAGGAAGGGTTGGAATTTCCTACACCCACTCCCCAGGCAGAGCGCATGGTCCATCTGTTTCAACAAAAGATGGGTTTACAAAGGCACTATGTCAGCTGGCCAGTTAAGCATGTTGAGAGTAAGGCAAAGTCATCCATCTTGGTCCTTCCCTGAAGTGAGAAATTTCTCCAGTCAATCTCCCATGCTCTGTGAGGGGCAGAGTCTGGCTCCTGCTTTACACACAGATCCTTCTGCCTTGCAATTTCACAAGGAGCCTAGAGGAAAGATGCCTCTAAACAGACAAGAAGGCTGTGAAAAAGGGCAAACGGGAGTCCCAGGGGGTGGGAGGAAGGAATGTAAGGAGTTCAAAGGAAGGGATGCTGGTGAATTCATAGATCAGCTCCTCTTTCCAAAGAGAAGCCATTGAGCAATAGATACATATGTGAGACAGAGTTAAAAAGAAGGGGAAAAAACCCCAACATTGCAATCAGGCTGGTTTACAAGAAAGTGGGGTGCGGGTTAGAAATGGCTAAACATCTAGTCAACTTTTGCTTAGCTCTTTTTTTTGGGGGGGGGGGGGGACAAGACAGAAGAAGAACACAGAAGAGAAGGATGTGCAGTGGCAGGGATGGAAGGTGCCAAAAGGATGAAAGGAGCCAGAGAAACAAAGTCTACCTAAGATGGCCTCTGCTCCAGTAGGAACCTTCCCCCTTTGCCATGGCAACCTCACCATCATCCATCTCGCTCGGCAACCCGGGAAGATCCATGAGAAGGTGCCAGATGCTGCTGGTGCATTTGACCGCAAAGCCCGCTGCCCCTTTCAGCTAAACATAAAGAAGGGATAATGCGTGTCTCCTAAAATGTGCTTTATGATAACAATTAATTGATTCATAAACTATGTATAATAGAGATTTTAATGTATTTTATACTGTAAGAAGCACCAGGTTTTGTTATTTTTAATTTTTTTCAACTTAGATTTTTTTTTGTTTTTTTCTTAACTTTTAATTTTGTAATTGTCTTCAATTTTTTTAACCTGATACAGTGTTTTTACAAGTTTATTTTTGTGTATGACAAAACTTTTGCCTTCAGCCCTCCCATAAAATGACAAAACTAATGAGGAAAAGGAAAAAACAACAACCAATCCTCAATTATTATCAATCTTTTAAAAAGGATTTAAAAAATAAACAAGAAAAAGGAAAAACAGACAAATGAAAAAATAAACAGAAAAAGTTTTTCCCCATACTTACAAAGGTGGGTTTTTCTTTTGTCCCAATTTATTTAGAGTCCCTGGGAACAGAGGACTTTGCAACAAAAATAGATTTTTTCTCTTCTTCTTAACAATCTTTAACATACAAAGATATTAAAACTATGCACTCCATTGCACTTGGCTCAATGCAAACAAAATTGGTTCTTTTAAAAACCCTAATATATACTTTGATTTTGAAAATCCCCTCCCCCTTTTAAACAAAAGTTTTTGCGTATTTTGCTGCCCATACCTGTAAGCCACCAAAATTGAAACTTCTCCATGTCATCCCTTATGGATTCATTCCCAGGATTTACATTTACCCCTTCTTTTAGGACTCCAACAAGGTAACATATAAATAGATGGCACTGGTATTCCATCTACCCACCTACACACTACTGTTATTCATCTGTTACCCCTTAAAATCCCAAGTGTTAAATAAGTGCTTAAGCACTGTTAGGATTTAAAGCTTCTTCTTTTTTTTTTAGAATTAAATAACAGTAAACTTCTACTCCTCTACCAACCACCCTCTACCATTTTAAGTGCTCTTTCATTGGTGGTCACCCACCTCTGGATTCCTGCAATTCCTACCTTTTTTAAAACTATCCATCTCTTGTTTTTAGGGAACCCATTCTGAGCAATGCTGGGCATTAAGGTCAGAAGCTTCAAGCAATTGAATAAAATTATTGGACTACTTAAAGGAAAAGCAATCAGTGTTTTAAGTGAATGAGATTACTAAATATATTTAAGAACTGAAGGAATGGAGCTGTATCGGTTCTTGTAGGGCTAACATATCTATTTGGGCTACAAAATGTCAGGTGGCCACTGGTCTTGGAGGCAATCTAGTGACGGTCTGGGTTTCTGCATATTAAATATGGCCACCTGGACTATTGTGATCTCCACAATATAATATTTGGAACGTTTTTCATGCTTTGTATGTTTGTGCTCAGAAATTGTCAAGCCTAATGGAAACAGAAGCTTGGATATGTTTGGGTAGTGAAGGCACAATCTTCTTCAATGTGGGAATGTTTCAAATGTTCTTATGACCAAATCAAATAAAAACCATGCAGCATTTCATATGCTACACCTTGAGTTATATTTAACATTAGCACATTCCCAAGCCTTATTACACATTGGAATACTTGCCAGTGCAATCAGACTAGAAAAGGTGCTTGATGTTGATATTTTGCCAAACAAGGTAGTGAATGGTAGGCTGAATAGTTTTAAGGCCGCCAGATTAGGAACTGTATCAATGCCCGCAAATGCAAAATATATCCAGGCTTAGTGTTCTTAAAGAAACACATGCTTTGGGCACTTTGTAAACTGAGCAATTTACAACCTTTCATAACTGGAATGGGGTTATGTTCTAATTGTAACTGCTGCACACAAATTCTGCCCATATCACTGATTTGGCTCCATCTCTCACTCTATGAATATTCAGCTATAGATTAGACAATATTTTTTCTCAGAGTGCTGAAAGAGGGATCAACAATCATGGTGTGATTTTTTTATTCCAATGTCATCTCTGGTACATTAGACTTAATTTTTGAATAACATTAAGAGAACTTAATGTGAGAGGACCTGTGGTATGGCAGAAGCAGCAGGTAGAATGCTAATCCTAGAATTCATGAAATTTAGGTCTCCATTGTTACTTTACAGAAATAGACCTGGAACACACCAATGACTAAAGCATCGGATGAGTGTCTCCTCTTTGTGGCAGCCCCAAAATATCTACATGCAGGCTGCTCACTCCATTACAGTTTTCCTCACAAAGAGACCTCCCCCTTTGTAGAACAGCTGTCCTGCAGCTGTGCAAGGTGAGACTCTAAGAATCCTCCACAAAAGCAGGCCTTGGATGTGAGTGCCTGCTGGTGTATGCCCCTCTGCGTGTGTGTACAGGACAGGGGAATTCAGAACATTCCTCTGACATGTGGATTGTAGGATAATCATGAGAGCCTACTGCTGGCAGAGGAGAGAGGCAAATCTGCAACCCTCAGATTCCCTTCCTTGACCCTGTTTATCCATTTGGGACTAGAAAATCATTGCACTTGGACAAGGGTGCAGATTCTTGGTCTCACCAGCAGGTCCATTTTGGACTAACTCTGCTCCAGAAATTCTTGGAATGCTCCATGAATCAACTGAGAATTACTGTAGCAAATAGTAGAATAGCTTCAGGAGATTCTCTAGATCAAATTAATTATTTGGTACACAACTTCAGGTATTGCAAGTCATGTGTTTAAATACAATTGCTCTGGACTAATTGCACAGAAACCTGTTCCCTGCATTACTTTCTGGCCCTTTCCAAATCAGATAATTCCTCATCCCTATCCTTACCCCTTACTCTGATATAGAACTTCACTGCCGCCCAGCAAGAACCAATGATACCTCATACAGAGGTGAGCATAGTTAATAGGAACAATGGAGCATGGAAGATGAACTCCAAAGAATTTGGCAAAGCTCCTGTCCCCAAAACTCAGCATCTGGTAAGGAGAGGTTTCTCCTTAACAGAAAGGTATGCTGTTTTTTCTCACAGTTTTACTGTAGTGTGAGACAAGGAAAGAGGAAAGTGCATGGAACTGTGTGACTGATCTGGTGCACATGTGTGCATTTGCACATGGTATGCAGATGGTAGTGTCAAACCCTCATAACTACCCATTAGGCAGCCTCTATTATTTCTAATTATATACAATTCATTTTGTTGCGCTGTGGTCTGCTGTGGCTGTTATGATCTTTGTTGTTTGTTTGTTTTAACAGTAACAACAAAACCCAATTGTACTTAATTGTTGGTGTCACCTGTATGTAGAGGAAGCCAAAGGAAATACAACAACTCAAAGAGTAAGAAAATGAAGTGGATAAAAGGGATCAGCAAAAGTGTCAAACCATAGTAACAACAAACACCCACAATCTCACAAGGCTGAAGCCTAGACTAGGCTGGGTACTCTGATGAAACGTACCTGTCTGAGCTAGTTACTCTAGCTCCAGTGATCAGTTTGGGGTACAATTGAAGTATGCCCCTTTGCTGCCTTGCTAATCTTTTTTGATTATTTAGAAAAGAATGAATACTATCCTAAATATTTCTCCATTTGCAATAGCAGCAAGGAGTTTCTTTTCAAAGAGAAACACTTTCCAGTCAAACCTAACTTGTCACCATGAACTGAAGTGTGCCCATATTTCTTGTTACTATGGGGAAAGGAATTCCAGTTCATGCAGAATAAGGCTGAACATATTTTCCATGTAATCCAAACATTTTTTTTTCTGAGAGTCAGGAAAAGGTCATTCAGAGCAAGGAATACAAGGAAGCACTAGATACCAAGATCAGCAGAGAAAAGATTTGTGCTGGGGTCGGTGTGTGCATGCATGCTTGAGGAGGGAGGCGAGGAAAAGGAATTTATTCCTTGCTCTGGAATAGAATTCAGTTGGAGCATCTGGTATTCAGAAGTGTTTCTGCTTTTGCTTTATTTTCACTTGTAGAAATGCAATGTTAATTTGGTTAACAAGGGAACATATGTTTGGTGGGAGAAGTAATGCTTAATCTAAACCATTTCCAGATCTGAACCACAATGGTGCACTGAATTGGCCTATTCACTGAGTGGAACTAAGACCAAATTTGATTTGCTTGCAGCCTCCACCTATCTCTGAAGGTGTTTCTTCAAACCAATGAGGGGCTCAAGCCCTGGTTAAGCAAGTGCTCTTAGTTTGTTTAGCTTATTCAGAATTCTCCTTGGATTTAGTCTAATAAGTAGACAAATCTCTAGGGAACAATCTCCCTTTTCATATCCCAGCAAACATAATCCTTCAATCTTGAGACAGTTTTGGGATTTGAGACTGGTAGATGTGAGTGTTATTCTTTGCCCATGATGAATGAAAAAAAATCCCTTTTTAAACAAAAAAAAACATTGTTTGGGTGGCCTGTCCAGAACTATTTTATACATTATTTTAACAAAGAGTTACTTCAGTGTGAGTTGATGAGATTCTTTGAGAAGACAAGTTTCTCCTATGCAGATGCAAAATCTGCCTTGGATCAGGGAGGTCCAAATTTTTTTTAAGCTTCTCATCTGTGTTACCCAATGTCTCTTACTTTTCTTTGAAGAGGAGCAGCTCAGTGAAGATATGGGTTAAGGACTGAAGATTCTGATTCGCAGGGCTTGAGTGAAAAATTATCATCGTCATCATCATCATCATTATCATCATCATCATTTTTCTTCACTTGAAGATCCTGTCAGAGGAACCAAGACTGGACCAGAAGACATGAAGAAAGAGGCAGAATTAAAATTGAGACTCCTTTCTTTTTCTTATGCCTGATATTGAAATACTTGTTAAAATTCTAGGCTCTTTGTGACTTTGTTATCTTCAATCTCAGGCAATCTGATAGCACCCATTATTTGTCCCTCTGTAACACCTAATCCCTGGTTTCCACTCATACTGCACCACAGTACTGTGCCCGTCACCTTCTTATAACAGTCACCTAATGAAGCCTCCTGTGATTTTCATGCAGACTTGTCATCAAGTATAAATTTAATAGGTTGCTAAAACCATAGCCAGCACTGATTCTCAGATGACTGTATCCACATGGATTGCACATATAATTCCATACATCTATTTTTATTACATGCACACTACACATTTGTACAGATATATTTCAAGCTGATAATTACTGAAAATGGTAGCTCTGTATTTAGTTTCTTTTTTTTTCTGTCCTCTTTAATAAAATATATTAGGATCTTGAGATCCAGAGTTTCCATCCTTTATCATTAAGTGCTGCTGGCAGAGTAAAGAATGCAAACTAATGATGTCAAAAGGGATACATGAACTGAGTGTGAAAGAGGATCACGGACAGCTTAATATCTGATTTTATCTTAGCCCCAACAGATAGAGGATATTAGCAGCTTAATATCTGATTTTATCCTTCACATCCTTTCATTTTAGAAACTGAAGACAAGTTTCTGCTTACCAATTTTATTTTCCTTATGGACTTGCAAAAGAGGCCAAGCCCTGACTGGTTGTCTCCTTACTTCTTACCCTTTCAATCCATGAAGGGACAGGGAAGCCTGTCAGCTGTGTGGATGGGCCTCCCAGAGCCTGCCTTATCCTTTTAGGGATTGTTTCATCTTTACTTTTCTTTTTTCTTTTCCTTTGCTTTCCCAGATGTTTATGCATAAGGGAGCCTTTATACAATCATTCTCCACTGACACTGATACATTGTAACAGAACCACCTAAAGCAGGGGTCACCAACCTTTCGGACCACAGGGACCACTAAATTCATAATTTTAAATCCTACGGACCACTAATACGATCTGCCTAATGACCGGCTGGGTGGGCGTGGCTAGATGACCATGTGACTGGGTTGGTATGGCCAACTCAATGTCACGTCAAAGGGAACTTTACCAGCCTCTACTCCCCCCTCCCCTCACAGCCACTCCTCCCCTGCCTGCCTGGGCTCCTTAGGGCCCCAGCAGGAAGCAGTTGTTGGAGCTAAGCAGCCACCATGAGAAAGAGTTGGCAAAACAGCTGGCTCAGTTCAAACTGGATCTGACTGAGAAGGAGGCTCAGCAGAAGCACCTCACTGAGGACTGTGAGCATAGGCGTTCCAAGCAGAGGAAAGACCTGTGGGAGTGCAAGGCCAGGTCCCGGCGCCTGAAGGTTCAGTAGGCTGAGATGGTCAGCCATTTACAGGCCATGATGCAGTCCCACTGGAACAAGGCCAGAAGTGGTATTCAGCTGGTTTAGACCAGTTCTGGCATAGCAGTAGTGGAAATTTTGAGTAGTTCAAAGAACAGCAAATACCAACTCTGGCTGGCCCCACCTACCTGCACCCGCCTTTTCCTGTCCTATATTCCCTTGTTTTTTAGCTCAGCTGATCCACGCAGCAGACTGGATTGCTGTGCCTCAGCTGAGCTAAAAAATAGTTCACCTCACTAGCGCTGACACGGGGTGTTTTTTGAGTGCTGTGCTGCACAAAGTGCGCTCTTATAGAACCGGTAAGACAATCGCACCACCCTGCCCACTCTGCCCTGTTCCACCCTGCCCTATATATCTTGCCTTCACCATGTGGCCCAGCTAATGCCTCGCCTCTGTGCCTTGCACGCTCTGCTCACCCAATTTAAGCATGCTGCCCTCTTGCTCAGGTCAGGGCCTGGGGATGCGCCATTCCCTGGCTCCAGCCTTGCCCTGGAGCCTCCGCCCACCCGCTATTTGATTTGGCCGGGTTGGGAATGTGCCACTCCTTTGCTCCATGCCTTGCCCAGAGTCTCCATCCACCTTGGCTGTGTCGGGAAATGCACCATTCTCCAGCTCCGGCTTTGCCCCAGGCCTCTGCCCGCATGCCACCATCCCTTCTGGCCTCAAACTATGGCCCCCTGGGCCAAAGCAATTCATTTGGCCTGCAGCCTGCCGCTCTAGGCTGAAGGGCCGCTGGGGAGCGGGGAATGGGCACAGGAAAGCCAAAGCAGTTTGGGAATGGACCAGATGGTTCTTCTTACCTGTAAGAAGTCCCATCAGGAAAATGGTGCTGCGGAGATGTTGCAGCTGCTTCTTCCATCCCTTGCAGAGCCTTGGTCGCTCGTGGAGATGCTCCATGTGCTCTCCGGGTCAGCAGCTGCTTCTCTCCGCTTCTACTCTTGCTGGGAAGAGCGTCTTGTACAATTGAGTGGCTGTGAGCCGCCACTTTCCTCTAAGTCCCCTCCGGAAAGCACTGTGGCTGAGAGAAACAGCATTCAATATGGCTGCTGCTTCTCTGTGCCGCAGCACTTTCTGGATGGGACTTAGAGGAAAGTGGCGGCTCACAGCTGCTAAATTTTCACAAGACGCTCTCCCAGCAATGCGGAGAGAAGCAGCCACTGCCCCAGAGCAGAAATGGAGAGAAGCAGGCCCTGAAAAGCTGCTTGGTCAAGCCTCGTCATGTGGTGGAAGCTGTGCATGTGCAGAAGCCATGCGTGCAATGTGCAGAAGCCATGCATGCACATTTTTGGCAAACTGGTGGTGGAATTATTTGAAACCCACCACTGAACAAGGCTCTTCACCACCAGTGGCACTTCCCTGCAGCCTTTACCCAAAGCCCCACACCAGGAGACTGAGGCAGACCTCAAGTCGGAATTTCTGCCCCCCACAAAAAGACTCCAAAGGTGGAGACACTCTGCAGCAACACCTTGCATGTATCCGGCCCGGGGGCCATATTGCAATATAAAAAATGCAAATAATTTTTCTGCGGACCACCAAAATTTTCTCACAGACCACATGTTGGTGACCACTGATGTAAAGGGATGGCTCTGATTCACAGAATAGAAGCTTTACAGTTTCCTACCAACAGGCCTATCTTGTAAATTAAAGATTGTTTAATTTATAAAGGAAAAGGGGAACCACTGCAGTATAGTGGGTACAGTATAGGAAAGAAAGGAGCGTATGCTTCAGCCACCCTGAGTAGAAACTGAAAGGGAGGCCACTGTGAGATATAAGGGTGGAATTAAGATGTACTGGTAGAAGAGATGGAGAAAACAATGATGGCCAGGAGGTTTTACTGGACTCCATTCCTTATGGGCCAAAAGATCAGCCTTTTTTTAAAGGAAGCTGCTGATCAGCTGAGAACAAAGTAGCCCAGAGTGAAATTTTACAAGGCAAAAACAGTTGCTGGGGGACAGGAGGGAGCCCAATTATAGAGCTGGAGATTCCCCTTATCTGGAATAAAACATTGTGGACTAAAGACGTGGAAGGGTTTAAGGTACCACAGAATGGAAAACTTGAAGAGCACAAAATTTAAGTGGGAGTTACGTTTTATGACGAGGTAAATGATAGATAATAATCTATTTTCTTGACTTCAAGAAATGGTGGGTAGCTCTTAAGAGTTGCTGGGAAAAGCAGAAAATGTAAAGTTGGTCTAAGTGGGAATTGAACTGGATGACTAAAGAAAATCTATTGGTACCACACCAAACTTTGAATTTGGGATTTTTGCCATTGCTAGCCCTTCTGCTGAAATTAGATAAGAATGTCTTCTGGTACTTCCATACCACATGATGTAAGTTTTCTCTTTCAATTTATCTTACCTTTCATATAATCTCTCTTGAGACTGCTACAAAGGGCTGAATGCAATTTCTTTAACCCTGTCTAAGGCTGCTCCTTCATCAGTATGAAAACGTTAAGTGAGAATTCAGTAAATTCAATAGAAACCAAAAGTTTCTCAGAAGCAAGAAAGATAAGAAGCTTATTTTGAACTACCAATGTCAGATAATTTGAAAACATCTGACACCTGAACTATTGCATTTGTAGCTTATAGGTCATTGCTAGCAGTTACATAAGAATGTAAGATTTTATTTAGACATGAGGAATTCCGATCACTGCTGCTGGTACTCACAATATTTAATCCCATCTGCCCACAATTGTGGAGCAATATTGGCCCTGTCTTGCAAAATCTCTGTAATCCAGGTTCCTCAAAAATGGCTATGCCCTCCAGCCAAAGGGAGACTCAGCTGATGTCATAAGTGGGGCTCATTATTAGAAACCATCTTCTATGCTGTTCCATTTCCTTCCCATCCTAGATTAGCAGCTACTTTCTCTGTCTGCTTCCCAAAAGCTGGATAATCTCAAGGTGACTGGGAGACAAAAATCGTTCCTTCTTCCAGCCTAGCCAGGGATTGAAAGGGAAGCTGACACACTATTACATGAAATTTCTTTAGGCAGTGACAGAAATTTCTCTGGTCTCTGGAAATTCAACATTTCTTCTGATTTGAAAAGTCAAGGCAGAAATGCAAGTACTGCACAATTTGCCCTCTAATAGCAGAGAGGGATGAAGCAGAACCACACTGTGGACACACTTCCCATCTGCAATATGGAGACAATAGTGAAGGGCAGCAAATGAAGGAAGCAGGAAGAAGTGGTTGGATTTAAATAGTTTAGATTGGGGGCGGGCGGGGGGGGGGGCAGCATTGAAAATCGCCACCAGGAGGAGCTATGCGTCCACTGCTGGGAAGATTGGAGTTCTTCTAATTCTCCAGCTTTCAGACTCTCTAGCGTTTCCACCTCCCTTCTGTCTCGGCTTTGCTTTTTCTTGGTACTGAACAACAGGCTGGCATCACAGACTGAAGCTCTCTCTTCAGGACGCAATATCCTGAGGTAACAGTGCCTGTTTGAAATCCCCACAGGCCTCAACAGATTTAGTATAGCAGGTACAGGAAGTGCCAATGTTACATGCTACATTTTTAAAAACCTGATGGACAACAGATGCTCTTTAATTACCAATCTCT